TTCACTGTCCTTCCCTTTCCCGCTTGTTTTTTTCACCAGCCCAGATCTCATACCCGAAGCATAGTATGATACTAAGCATTTAATGTTTGTTTTTTATTTTTGTATTCTGCAATGTTTAGTATCTTCCTTGTTGCAAATATCATTTTTATTTTTGCGTAAACATCACCTTCAGCTGACATGGAATGGTGATGGTAATGACGGTCTCAGTGACCCAACTGGTCAAATCGCAGTCCCTACTGAAATTGCATGTCACAATACATCGCAATGAGGCTGGACCTTACCGTGGTGCGATGGTTTGTGTGCCTCAGCGATCCATTGAGCTATGCTGGGTGGTGCTTTTGCGCCTTCAGAGCCACTCATACCAGATTGGTCAATGGTTAGAGGCCAGACAAACTCAGCCTCCTGGTCCTCCAGGTTGGGGTTGGAATGAGGGTGGCTCCTTATTCCTTAAAACGGACTCCTTGTAGTCCAACGCCAAACCCGCTGCCTTGCGGTCAGGTTTTTGAACCAAAGGCTTTGGTTGAGAACCCTAATCGTTCTCCTGTCTAGGCCTGGGCAACCTGACAGTATCATGCCCACGCAATACAATGAATCACACTTCAAACAAATTGCTGATGCTCTGGCCACCGCAGAGGATAATCAACGGTGCCCTATCTGCTGCATCGAGCAGGGTGGATAGGGGTTTGGATGCTACTGCTCAAGCCTTCCCGTCTTCTTATTCCCCATCTTACGCTTTTTCACTCTTACCGTCCCCTTCCAACTTCACTTATATCCCCCCAGTTTTCAACCCCCCGATTCTTGGCCCTCCCCCAACATGCTTTGCTAGGCATTTATCTTCTAGTTTCAACTCACATGTGAACGCGAAGCGTCACTCCTCTCCTGTCGACAAGCCCATGTCCAACCAAGCGGTCCATTCCAGTTCATCGGCTTCCATTTGGAGCCCTCGATTTTCCTTCAGATTGGCATGCCTTAATGTACGCACACTACTACAGATCGGTCAACAGGCAGCACTTGCCCGAACATTGGAGACCCTCTCGATCGATATCTGCTGCTTATCAGAGACCCGCCTGCAAGACTCGAGCTCTGTGCTCCCTCTGCGATCCCCTTCAGGTGACGCAAACAGTATTTTCTCATTGCGCCTATCCGGTGACGATGCAGCTTCGAGCACCGGCCAAGCTGGTGTTGGCATTGCTCTGAGTCCCCGGGCTGAAGCTGCTCTGGTTGATTGGATTCCAATCAGTAGCCGGATGTGTGCGGTCCGATTGGCTGGCTCCTCTAAAGCTTCGAAGTCGCGCGGGACTAATAGATGTCTATTCATCATCGCTGCCTACGCGCCCACAAACTGTAGCGATGATTCGGTAAAGAAAGACTTCTACCGCCAACTGGCTCAGCTCCTTCGCCACAGAAGAAGCACGGACACTGTTGTTCTGGCGGAGGATATGAACGCACAAGTTGGAAAGTTGTCCACTGATGAAATGCATCTGGGCGGTCAGCACGGTGTAGGCTCCCGTAATGATAACGGTGAGCGGTTACTTCATTTGTGTGAAGATGCTCGCTTATTTCTTGCGAGCACTAATTTCTGACACAGCACCCGCCGGAGGGTGACTTGGCGCCCACCAGCCTCGAACCAGATTTGGACGCAGATCGACCACATTGCTAACAGTTACCGCTGGAGAGGCTGCATCCAGAATTGTCGCTCGATTTGGAGCACATGTGTGGACACTGATCATGCACTTGTATGTGCTGACATGCGGATGCGCTTTGGAGGACGCCCACGACGACGCTGTGAGCGCATTGACACCAGCCAACTGACAAAGCCAGCTGTTCTGAATGCGTATCGATGTACGCTGACATGCGAGTTGAGTACTCGCTCACTGGAGACAATTGATGGTCACTGGTCACATGTTCGCCAGACCTTACTAGCAGCGGGCAAATCCTCATGTGGTATGTCTAAAAGCCCACATGGACATTGAGTCTCTTCTCGGTCTCTGGAACTTATCGACGCTCGCCGGCATATCCCGGCTGGAAGCGAACACAATGAAACTCGCAAAGAGCTCCGGGCAAAACTCCGTGCTAGCCTGAAGAGAGACCGCGAATCTTGGTGGTCTCATCGTGCGTCAGAGATGGAAGTGGCCGCTGCCCTTGGCAACCATCGTAAGTTATTCCGTGTGATACGGGAAACGGGCAGCAGGAGACCTGGTGTTAGTGAAACAATTGGTGATGAGAGTGGACAGCCTATCCACAATTTGTCAAAACGTTTGGAGCGTTGGGCTGAGCATTTTGAAAAGCAATTTACTCGGCTAGAATTGTCCGATTCGCCGGTCACTGATCGCCCTGCTCCGTGGGCTGTCCCTTTGGATCCACCCTCTCGCTCAGAAGTCGAACGTGAGATCGGACTGTTGAAGTTGAACAAAGCTGCGGGACCAGATGATCTTCCTCCAGCCATCTTCAAATTTGGAGGCCCTGCTCTTGTGGATGCTTTACATAAATTACTAGTGAAACTGTGGGAGCAGGAGATTGTCCCAACCGACTGGAGCCGCTCCGTTATTGTTCCCATCTTCAAAGGCGGCTCGCGCTCGGAATGCGGCAACCATAGAGGAATCAGTCTGATCTCCATCGCCTCCATAATTCTTCACAGACTGACTGGCGCTCGTGAAAGCCAGATTCGTGAAGAGCAAGCCGGGTTTCGTCGTGGTCGTGGCTGCATTGACCACATCTTCACTTTGCGTCAGTTGTTGGAGCACCGCCACACATATTGGCGGCCCACCCTAGTCGTGTTCCTCGACATCAAAAGTGCCTTCGATTCGGTTGATCGATGCGCCCTTTGGAATTGTCTACTCAGGAAAGGTGTGCCCGAGAAATATGTAAATATTATCCAAGCATTATATGCGCGTAGCACGGGCAGAGTGAGGGCTTACGGCAAGCTGTCGCCACCCTTTAATATCTCCAGCGGTGTGAGACAAGGATGCCCGCTGTCACCTTTCCTCTTCAACTTCGCTATTGACGAAGTCATGGAGATTGCATTTACAGGACATGACTTGGAAGGTGTGGAGCTACTCCCAGGAGAACGACTTCTTGACTTGGAGTATGCTGACGACATTGCCCTCATCTGTGACAGCGCCCAGACGTGCCAAGCCGCGCTAGACAGATTAGCACTGGCTGTCAGCCGCTTCGGGCTTTGCTTTGCACCATCGAAGTGCAAAGCGCTCCTCCAAGATTGGCAGGGATCGCCTCCTGCGCTGACCCTTGGTGGGGATCAGCTAGAAGTCGTTCAGAAATTCAATTACCTGGGAAGTTGTATCTGCGCCCTTGGGATCGAAGACGAGATCACGAACCGTATAGCGAAAGCTCGAAATGCTTTTGCTAACCTTCGCCACCTTTGGCGGCGGCGCGACATCACTCTCACCCTGAGGGGTAGAGTGTACAATGCAGCGGTACGTTCGACCTTACTGTACGGTTGCGAAACCTGGCACATAAGATCGGCGGACATGAAGAGGCTAGTTACGTTCGACCATCGGTGCCTTCGCAGTTTGGCTCACATATGGTGGGAACACCGCGTGAGTAACGAGCGTGTTCGACGCATTGTTTACGGCCTAGGAAAAGGGAATGAACCGCTCAGCACCGTCATTTCACTCACCAGGCTCCGATGGCTTGGCTACTTGTTACGCATGCCAGCCCACCGACTCCCTCGACGTGGGTTGTTTGCTCACCGGGGATGTGAGTGGAAGAAGAGGAGAGGTGGCCAAGCGATGACTTGGTCCAGGGGAATGAAGTCCCTCACCTCGGAGCTAGCCTCGGTTGGAGCTTCACGGCTCCCTGGTTGGGGTCCAAAAGACGGTGAACACGTTTGGCTGGATACACTTGCTGACATGGCAAGGAGCCGACCTCAGTGGCGTTCCTGCTGTGAGTTTCTTTGTCCCTCCCCATCCCTTTTAGCCTCCCCATCCATCTACGATCTCATTTCCTAGGGTAAAACATAATTTTTTTTTCTTTTTGCCTAGTAGCTAGCTGGAAGCTTACCGGAACGATGCCTATCCGTTGCTGGTAGCTCAGCTGGCATGCAACTGTTGTATCTACTTCTCCTTTGTGTATTGTATTGTATGTATTTCCTTCATGTATTGCGGCACAATAGCGGAGGTGTTTTTCCCACCTCTAGCTGATGTGTATAATGATGAATGATGATATATATGTATATATATATATATATATATATATATATATATATATATATATATATATATATATATATATATATATATACATTCTTAAAGATCGCAATGAACCTTTCTCGCGGCTTGGTTGCGTTGCGGCAGTATCGTCCACCTACAATCGACGTGTCACACATCTTAGTTCCAGTTCTTTAAACTGCAGCGGAAATGTCCAAGCAAGCTGAAAACCGGTCGTGGAGTTTATCCTTGTGAGCAAAAAGCACCCGACATTGATTGGCCCACTATCGATCTCCACGACCTAACTGGAGATCGTGACAAAAATCCACTTACATACTCACGATTACTCCTGGCGTTTGTTTATACGCGTCACGATGCATGTTGAGTTGGTGTCTCGGGGCCATGGCAGCGTGAGTGACATCATCGGTGAGGACGCAAGCATTTGCACCCAGACATCGCCCGAATGAACTCATCCCTTGCGAACGCACACTCTCACGTCTGTGAATGTGAAATTATTACAATCCATGCTTGTTTGTCCACAACAGCTTCTGTTTGCTTAGGGACAGTTTTTAGACTTTGACACCTTGATGAACTTAGACATAACGTGAATAACTGATGACATTGCATTAATGAAGCGCATCAGTTAAAAGCTCAAACTGGAAACTACAAAAGTTTGGCGGGGTAGCAGTGTGAATAACGATGTGAAGAAACATTTAGTGTACAGCATCGACTTTACTGCACATCTCATCTAGCCCTCACCCTTTTCCTTGAGGTTATTTTCACTGCTCTCATTGACTTCCGCATTCCCCTCCTACAACGTTTCCTTTTTTTAAGAACTTCCATGGTATGGATCTGACTGCCTTGCGAAATGCTGCTCTTGCGGAATACTTCAACCAACCAATAGTGGACACCTTCGACATTGGCCTGTGCCCCGCTGTGCCCTGTGTACATAAAGTTGACTTCCGCACTGTAACTGAAACGCAGCTTGCTTCGATTGACATTCCACTTCACTTTCAGATCTCTACCTCATCCACTGTAAGTTCACCATGTCAATTTACTTTTCTGTCAGTTTCGTAGTCCCTACTTTGTCCATTATTTCAAGCACAGAATATTGGGTGGATCAGGAAATGTGTTTTAATTTTTGTATCACTTATCTGATACGTTCAAATGGTGTTGTTACAGTTGTCCCCTATCATATTCTATCTGATACATTTAGTTCGCATTATGCCCATCATACCTTGCCTCGGGATAGGCGAGCTGATCTGCGACTAGGCGGTTTTGGTATCCACATCCGACTTTCTCATGATGCACTCCCATTTGTGCTCAAAAGAGACCAACTGAAGTCCGCATCATCGGTCCCATCAATGGCACGTTTGCTGAATCTACCTTCAAGTCAATTCAAGTTTTGTGTGCCCGGAAGGGTACATTTTCAGAACTTTACATAATCAACTGCAAGTGGACTAAACTGACACCATAAAAATGCAAAATTTTGTTAACAAAAGGGTAAGGATGTCTCTCGAGCATACGGATCCGCATTCTTGAGCAACGAGCGCATATCGTTTCAGTTGTCAATTTAGAGTGCACGCATAGTGTCAGCACTTTGGAATTCAGCGAAGCACTCCTCTTATGTTTCCTATTCGTTATACGCACTCATATTCCACAATTTATCAATTTCAAGGCAAAATGGTCCGTCTCTTATAACTAAACTACAGAATCGGTTAAACGAATGCAATACCAAAGTGGTCTTACTTGTACGGAATTCTGTAATGTATGCTGTCTTTACGGGAACACTTATGCTACGCCTCTGTGTATTCTGCTATCGGAGTGTTACAGCCGGAAGTGTGCAAGCAAAAGACCCCTGTACAAGCGCACTTCTTACCTTGCGGTAACTCCTCATCGTCGGACACTGGCCGCAGTCGAGTGCGATCCTTATCGCGCCATCGCCTGACGCAGCGCTTCTTCAACTGATCGACCAAACTATCAATTGAAAGTAGCAGCGTTGTTCAAATCCTCTCGAGTTACCTATGCACAGTCCTGCCTGCCCTGATGAAAAGAGATCTCACCGGAACCTTTACTTCTTATATTGTCTGTATCATTTATGGGCATTATTTACGAATATTTTGTCTCGCCCTGTTCAGAGAACCCGAAGACGATGTTTTTGACGTGTGTGTTGTTGATCATGAGCTTCGGTGGGTGCATAGGGCCCTTAAATGGAGAAACCCGGTGAGATTGAGAACAGCTGTGTTCTGTTACAATCTCTCCCTAACGCTTATATTGTTTCTGTTAGGCATTTCATCTCATCCTTAACATCTAGAATTGTTTTGAATGGACGGAAAACCTTGTTGGATAGTTGAGAGCAGTCGTGCGCCATCCTAACCTGCGGTTACACGGGCTCTATTAGTGAGACCATAGCCGAGACAGATGAGCGTTTGGTCCATTCTTAAGCGCACCGAATGGATCAGTTCGGCAGGTCATTACTAACTGAGTCACGTCAACCCATATGCGATGCACTTATCGGGCTCGCTTGTAGAAGCACTTCAACCCTGGTTCCATGCCGGTAGTCCTAACGGGAAGCCCAGACGAACCCAGCTCGAATATTGGCCAAGAGCTTACCATTGGCAGCCGGCCAATGACAATACTTCTGGTTTAAAGCGAACTAATGAGAACATTCTCTTGCATATGGTAGTTTCTCATGGCAAGAAATCTCCTAGGTAATTTTCTTTCAACTATATAGTCAACCGCATTTCGTCTGTAGATAACGCTGTATTCCCGAGCTCAATAGAAGTATTTATCGAGGCCTTTGTCTTCAGCTTTTGTTAGTGGCTGTCTGTGATCCAATTAATTGTGCACGTTATCCGTCCTACCTTCGAAGGGGTTCCATGTGAACTTGCCGTTTAGACGAAGTCAGGTGCCAAGACCCGAAAAATCTCAGTCGTTATTGGATTGCGAATGAGACACATTGTTATTCGGCCTTGTCTGGCCACTTATCTGTCGTTGTGCTGGGAGACCATGAGATCACTCGAAGTAGGATATGTCAGATATCATCGACTCTTTTACTAAGCGTCTCAGTACTTTATGCAAAGACATCGAGCCATCAGCTTTGTTAATGTTACTTCCAGACATCACAGGCACTAACGGCGACGACTTACCAGCTCATTAGTTAAGATTATTATAGTTGTCTTGAGCACACGCGTTATATCAACCCATTGTTCTGTTTCTCGGTTTTCCGGTCACATTTTCCCATCTATATTGAATTCCTCAAGTCAGGATAACTGCCATCACCACTCTGAGCTGGGTTCATAACTGATCAACATTATTTGTCTCGTAGCGTTTCTTATTTCAGCCAAATGTGGACGGTGATTTACCTCTTTGATGCCGCATACAATTATAGCTAATTGAAGTTGCCAAATGATCGTTTATCCCAATACTTCGATAAGGCCATTATTCAGATCACAAATCGATCCCTCCAAAATACTCTTCAGATCCACGGTTTGGCGTTCTGGTTTGATGTTGGATTCCTCGGATCCCAGCGCGAAGTATGGCTATCCACTGCACCGACGGAACCTCTAACTCATTGGTACCAGGTTAGTAAATTTGTGGTTGAACATATTCATTATTAACCACTGTTTAGTATCCGGGTTATAGCAAAGTCTTATTTTGCCCAAACTAGTAATTTTCATTTATACTTCTTGACGATGATGCGTTTTCCGGTTATTTTTTTTACTCTGCTTTGTTCATCCGTTTTCCGCATCTTTCAAAGGTTCGGTGCCTTCTTGGAACACCGCTCTTCGTACAAGAGGGACAGGTCTTAAATGGCCATGTTGCCATGCGTGCGAACACACGGCAGTCTTACGACGTGCGGATAGAATTAATTGTTCCAGGATGCCAGACAAAGGTCAGTTTTGCATGCCACGTTGGCGTGTTCGTACACCTTGAGTCCAAAGTTAAGTTTGACGGCTTTCTTTAGTTTTCGCACTTTCCTACGTGCTTTCGATGATTTTTGGAGCACCAGTCACATCACACTGGTTCTCATTTCTACCAATCAAAACTGTCACATCGCAATAGTTGTTTATCACCGTTGTCCGTTCGGCAAATGTCACTCGCAGAATCCTAGACAGTCTAATCTGGAGTACGTTAAGACATGCGAACTACCGAATTTCTTCTTTTTCAGATAACCAACACTCTTGATCTGAAAAACCCTCACTTCCGATATAACGGCTACCCTCCTGCTCCCCCTCCCGGTTCCCATAATCGCTCTCCAACTGAAGTTTATTATTCCAACCTATGCTTTCAACAACAGCAACAAACACAGCAGCAGAGCCTACCTGCCAATTGGGCAGTTCCCATGACAGGCAATCTCTCTATCCCTGGAGGCAACACGAACCTTTCTACACCTGGTGGCCCTTTGTTTGCCCTAGCTCCAAATGGACCAAACTCCGCCCATGCGACGATGTTCGCACTACCAAACGCAGCTATCTCGAACGAACAGCAATCAATGCAGCTGTCCCCACAATCATTAAATCCGTTGATCGCACCGGTGACCGCAAACTCTTCAATTCTCCCATCTTCACAGCCTCCACATGTCGCACCTGTAGCCTGTAATCCAGGGCTTGTATCATCCGTGTTCTTCAACCCTTCCAATCCACTAATTTCGGCCGTGGACGATATTGGTTCTAGCAATATCCTTGCTCATGCTGCAAATGGATGGCGCTTAGGTTGGTGACTTGTATTCGAACTTTTTGTCGCTCAGTCCCATACCCAGCTAACATATTCGTCGTTTTAATTTCAGAGCGACACCTCAATGTTCTTTGAGTTATCACCTGACTCTGGGTTTCATTGTTCCCATATGCTCGCCCTCTTTTGTTAACTACCCATTGGTGCCTGAGCTAGAGTAACGAAAGTACCACTGGATGCCTATGGGCACCCAGAATACGGCTGTAACACTGTGGCGCGGCGCATTGTATTGGCCAGCAGTATGAAACCGTCGACAAAAACGCTGGCGTTGGCCGTACATGCTGTGCATCTGACTGTAGTCGAATTTTCAGTCTGTTCTATCTCGTAAACGCACGATTTTTCTGTTCTATGAACTTTCATCACAGTCACACTCAGTCAGCTAGCACTACACATCGGGAAAACCACTGGAGGGTCGTTTAATCCTTTTTGGGAACCATTCACAATACGCGTTCCATCTGGGGCAATAAACCGTAAGGGTGGAAACCACATAGCTCCCAATTTGAGTACTCACATTTCGGACCCAATCTATGCGTCGTCGTTGAGTGTCTGGGTTAAACACCTCTCGTCTACCAATGTAGACAAGAATTCCGCTATTAATAACTGCGTAATCCGTTAGGCTTATAGGTAAAAGCCATAAGCCACAATTTTCGGAACCTTCTTGAACTCTCAACACGGAGAATTGTTAGTGTCAAATGGCACCAGATTTCCCGCAGCGAAGATGTGCGCAGGCTGGTACTAGGTGTGATGGTAGTCAGACTAGTTGCTTTCAGCAACAAATAACATTGAATAAGTTATGTTGAGATGTTGATTATTCGCTTACCAAGCTGTGAGCGGTTTCGTCACCAACCAAAGTGACATCTTCAGTGTATAGTGTTGCTGTAGTAGCAATAGCCTGGATAAAATTAACTGCGCTTCACACAGATACTGGATCTGTTGTAAGTTGCTCTGAGTTTAACACTTGCTACGTATATCGGTCGATACCCACCCAGGAGAAATTCGTTTCGTTTCCTGGATGTGGAATAACTCAAGGCCGGTGGTGGAAAAAATCGACTTGATAGCGAGAAATGAAGTTATACGATCCGTCCCTTTTCTGGGCACGGTTTCTCGGTCGCAAGAGAAAAACATATTATTAATGACGACTATCTCAAGTGCTGTTGGTCTGTTTCACCTTACAGACTGAAGCCCACACGACTCGCCTCGTTTTTGATCCCAGACTTTACATGACATGACTGGCTATTGGCATCACTGGCGTAGTCGGGTTGCTTATTTAAAATGTGTCTGATGCTGAGTTAGCTACGGATTAATGGCTACTTATGACGCGGACAAGCGAAAGTCTCAAATGACCTATCTTGTCACCTTACATATGAGTCAGCTGTTTGTGACCGCGTGTTGACATGGTGTATGCACCCTGATCCTAAATGTTTGTTTAGGGCGTCTCCATTCCTCAACGTTTCTTATCCATTATCCTGTTGATCATAATGGTTGTACAGCATCAGTTCAAACTGCAGATGTTGTTGATACCGCGCCCAACGGAAATAATGCAATCTACTCGAATGGGTCTTGATTGATCACCGTATGCATGCGATCGAACTTTGATACTTCATCAGACTCAGTTGTTGGTTGGTTCGACTCACATTTGATCTGTTTGATGAAAAATATGGACATTATGGTCGTTTCCAAGGCTATGAATTTTTCATTGAGTCGCCTATCAGTGATGTATCGAGGCCGTTAGTCGTCGAACGGATAATAATAGCCGTCCGTTTCAACGAGTTGTTATTTACAACCCTCCTAACTGCAGCGCACCTTTCCAGCCCAACCGTTCGCACCGAACGACTAGCTGCTTTAGACCCATGTAGACCGCAAATGGTACACGTCAGTTTATGCTTCTTGATCTTTCCGTATTACCCGAGTCAGTTCCGGCCGTCGCTTAATTGCGGCACAATAAAAGTTGGAGCTGCCAGCCTGTTCATGAGTAGCGATTAGGAACAATCGCATATCGCTCCAACTTATGCTATAAATTAATCATCCAATACATTCGGAGTAAAGTGGTATTTGGAAAAGTGGATCGCTGATGCGTTCTCACATCCATCCGTCACGTGTGTCATCATCAATGCTTTATTCACCACCACCTACTAAGGATCATGACATCACATCCGTCAGCATCGATGGGACTCGATACTGAATGGCTACTCTGAGGCATCACAAGGCGCCTAGGCATCGTTATTGAAAGACGGCGGTCATTCGTGAGTGCCTTGTCAATCTACTTGATTCAACGATATATGCGTGGGAACTTGAAAGGCAAGGTTATCAACGTGTCCCGAACCGGACAAACGACATGCAGTAAAGGTATTCGGGACGCTAGCCTCATTGCTGTTCCCAGTATGTCTTAGGCTGGCTTCAGCCTCGGTAAGGAACACGTGATTGCGCTTCTAAATCTCGACAGGTGCTTGGACCATGTTATACATGCATGCAGCTTTACAATGACCGTTTTTACTTTAGGACCGCATTTGATCTACTTAATCGCACCGGGTGTAGAAAATACCTTGCAGAGGTTACTTTCGCTGGTACTACTGGGGAGGTTCCACGGGAATCCATCCTATGAGTTCAGTATGATTCTATGTTTATAAGATTCAGCTGTCTTGCAAGCACTGCTGAATGGACATACTGAGTGCTGCATGTTTTGGCATCCTCATCACATGTTAAAAGTACAACCATCATGTTGCCGGACTGGTTTGGCCTTGCTAAACCTTCATTAGACGTTTCCCACCGGGTTTTATTCTGTTTCAACAGTACCGATCCATTCGTCGAGGAAGTTACTGATTAGTTGTTTAGAATCCGTTCGGAACAGCTGATCGGATCAGGTGCTTAGGGACCAGTCAATCCTGGCGAAAAGGGAATTGTGCACGTACCACAGATTTGTGTGGCCTCATAGAGTTTCAACCGACCTTTCTGTCAAGGACTGTAGCTCATCTGTACGTTTGGTATAATGCTGCTGTGCGACAGTACATGAGGTACCGTCATCTTGAGTCGAATGGAAGCAGCTGTGGTTCTTGTGCATCTCGGTCCTTTCGTGAGTCGTTGCGTAGATAAGTTCAGTGATCGCCTCGTTTTCACTATTCTCACATACTATTGAGTTCGGTTTGTTTTTACCCGCTAATCTCGGTGTTTGTCTGTTATATGGTTACAAACATTTCAACGTTTCTCTACACACAGGTGCTTTCCCCACTGAGTAAATCTACTTCGATGGTGACGTTAAACTTCAGAAACTTCTCCTACTCGATGTACGCCTACCCAAGCAATTATTTCGGCACACTTTTAAATGCAATGCTCTTCTTGTCCACTGTGTTTTTCATCCGTTGGGCCATTTGCCTTTCGCGTCTCATACTTGCCCTCCTAGCTACGAAGCATACTTTTACGCTTTATTGTATACCCATCCTCCTTCCCAATGGATTTGTCATTTTCGGCTTTTGATCGGTTTCGAAGAAAAATCGTGATCCCTACTTATGTTATGTGGTAAATATTGACCGATGAAAAACAAGTGGTTCATTGAAACGATTTTCTAACATACCCTCACAAAGTGTTGTAAGTCTGCAATCTCCTACATTCATCATAAAAATGATCCCGGTCGTCTGTGCGTTTCCAAAAAATTACGATGCTCAAGTTGATGGGCAGAAGTGATTACATGCCAGCGAACGTTTGCATCATCCAGAGGCGCTACTGCGCCAACAGTTTACATTGGCCCTTAGCAATGTCTGAAAATTCGGTGGCCTTTATTGCTGTCAAGTTTCGACACGTCGATAGGCTTTTTAAAGACAGGCCAACAGAGATGCATATCTGCGATGTCATACCTTTCGGATATACAAAGAACTTATATGTATACAAGGCGTGGAGTAGAATTTACAAATCTGAGTGTTGGAAACTTGTCTGCCAGCTACGGAGCCATGAATCACGCTTAGTGTGTAGAAACAACACTGAATAGATAACGGATCGATTTTTGAGTACTGAAGAGGAAAGATCGGTAAACGAAAACAAGTCTGGGGCAAATGAGGAATGCACAGTTTGAAGGGCAGGCGGATTCTGAACTTTGGTCTCTCAACGAAGTTGGGCTTGTGAGCTAGCAGACTGCGATCGCGACAAGAAATCCACCACCGAAAGAACCGAAAAATACTCGATTGTCAGCGATCAATCTAGATATCTATAAAGGTAAAGAGGGCAGGGAAATGTTGTTGAATGCGTGTGAAAAATTTAGGCTCTCTCAAACAGAGTCGTTTAGCCACGAATTAGTCCATGGAAATCAGGTTGAAGTACAATTTAGGCAAACGAAAATGTGACATTTTAATTTTCATCCGCCTGTGGTACTCACGCGACATCATTCTCGCCCCTAAGAGCAGAGCTCACAATGCATCCGTCTGTTAACTCCTCCCATATGATTCTGAAACCTGATTCATCAAGTCGACAGATATAGAGGCAAGCTACGTTAGATCATCGCTGCCTTCGCAGCTTTACTCATGTCTGGTGGGAACACCGCGTAAGCAATGAGCGTGTTCGGCGTCACGTATTTGGTGCAGGAAGAGCGAGTGAACCGCTTAGCACATCAGGCTCCGATGTCCCGGCAATGTTTCGCGTATATCAGGACACTGAAACCCGTGACGCGTTGACTGCGCGTCTGGGACTGTCTTGGTCAAAAAGAATGAAGACCTTCACTTCGAAGTTGGCATCAATGGGTGCCTCCCGACCGCCCCAAGGACGACTAATACGTTTGGCTGGATACACTTGTTGACATGGCTAGGAGCCGACCTCAGTGGTGTTTATGTGAGTTTCTTTGTTCCCTCCCCACTTAGCCTTCCTCTCCAACCACGATCTCATTTCCTATGCATAACATCACATTTTCGAGGGCCCAACAGCCGATTGGTAGCTCTACGGAATGATGTCTGTTGCATCTTTTCTTTCTTTCTTATACACTGCGCCACAATAGCTGAGGGGTTTTCCACCTCTAGCTAACGTGTATAATGATGATGATGGTCACACAATATTTGGTACACTAATATAAGATTGCAGCGCAGCCTTCGGTAGTGTACGCTGAAAACTCCCAGTGATTTCAGCCTTTGCTGGTAGGACAGATTGCATAGACCCTTGGCCTTCTTTGCAGCCCTGCGTTGTGGTGTCTCCAGCACCTAAAGTTCGCGCTCCAATCAATATTGCCAAGCTTGGATGGCTATTCAACGTGAAGGCGCACGTAAGAATTGGGAAGACTGAAGAGTCAAAATCCCCGAATGCCCTCCGCAACAGGCCGACGTGCTGGTTGCCACTTTTTGCAGGTGCCTCAGACTGCTTTGAACAGTTAAGGCCACTTTGAATGAGCACACCAATGTCGCGTTCAATTGGCTAGTGCACTCCTGTTGGTGATGATGCTCCAGCTGTCAGAACTAGGAGTACCTCTGCACACATGTACCGCTGCATCTCTTACTGCCATGCGTTTTCGTGTTCTGCTTCGAATGCATGATGCTGCCCTTGAAGCACGAATAGGAGTGATTTCCGACGCAGATATGATCAGATCACTAAACTGGTCCACAGACTACACCCAAGTATTATCAGTGGAACCGTCACCCAAGAACTCCTAGGCGACTTCTCCAATGAGTTCTGTTGGCATATCGTAATGTGTGATCGTACGAAACGAGGCAATGTGCTTCTCTGGGTATTCCGCACAGCACGTCGTCGTACAGTATGGTGACGTGATCACCCAGTCCTAGATGATTTTCTATCGTTGGCTTATCGATCATGAGATCTTCGTTCGTAAGTATTGATAGTCTGTTTCCCTCCCTGAATCTGGTGGGTGAACTGGCATGACTGAGGAGGAGAATGCTTCCAATAAACCTGCAGACCACCCTTGAACTGCTCATTGGGGGGTGCCAGAACTTTCAGATCGTGCACACTGAAACCAACTGAGATGAGAACATGGATGTATCATGGTCTAAAAACCTTCTCACAGCTAATAGATGGTAGTCGGTCTCTGGGGTAGAAATTAAGGGACGATGAACAATTACCACAAGGCAGGTGCCGTTGCGTCTCAGTTGCAAACTGCACCAGAGTTAATCTGATCAGCAATTCCGAACTATCCACTGCTTCGCAATGCTAGTCACTGCGGCCGTACAGAAGTACCTCATCTTTGCTGGGGCGATCGTTTCGAACAAGAGACATACCTTGTATCGCGACTTCGGTGTCAGTAATTCCTGAGTGTCACTAAGTTTGAATCACGAAAATGAGATTCCAGGCATATGAAGCTTGGCGTAGCCGAAGTTCAGTAAGCTTGCCTAGGAGGCCTTGTGCATTGGTGTATGCAGGTATGTTCCTCTGATCTCAGTAGTAAGCCGGGGACGTGCGTTTTAGGTGTGATGTTGCTTGGACCGTGGGAGGGTCGGAAAGTAATCATTTCTGTGTGCAGCAGTTACAAATGGATCTGCGGTAGAATTTCGATCCTTCGTCGCCGCTTTGTGTGTAACGTATGGGATATGACCACTAGTTCCGGGAAGTAGTTCGACTAAATTGCTTATGTCGGATGTTTGCTTAGAAGACACCGCCTTGAGCCAGAGCTCAGATGGTAGTCTGCTGCGATGTGCATACCAGCACTGCAATACCCTTATTGAAGTCCGTCTGGATTGAAGCACAACCTTCACAATCCTTGTGCCACATCGTTTGTAGTCTGGTGAGCTAAAAAGCTCCGAGAGTGATTGCGCTGTGGTGCTTTCTGAGGAATCCCGCGAGAGTAGCGCCATTGCTCCTGATTTTGGGCGGTCGTTTCACAATCAGTCACCCAGCTTCGAGGACACCGTGAACAAGGATGGTCATGGGTAGAAATCCTTTCCAGTAGTCTTCCAAGCAGTGCTTCGCCTGTTTACGCTCGTCCCACGGAACACCCAGGAAGATGCGGATGGAACAGCATCCATTCCGGAGACGAGCTGTCGATAGCTGCTTCATCAGCGGAATTCAGCTCAAATGGAATGTCTCAACTCATTGTATCGATCGAAGTTCGAATGACGAGTGATTCGCATCAGGCTGGTGGGTCTGGCTGCAACACAGGATATGGAGCCCATCCACCCACGTCCAGTTGCTCTCCTCAGCAAATTTGACGTCCATTCGGGAGCATACGTGCATTGCCATTAATGACTGCCTACACTGGTATCTATATCCCCGAATTCTCCGGTTGTACGTGTCTTTCGCGCTGTTTCCTGCGGTTACTCGGTGGCGCGTCACGACAAATAGATCCACCACAATCAGGTACTCTTGCTATGGCTAATTGAGGGTTCTTCGCATCAGATCGCAAATCAAATAGTCCTCAATTTGCCAGGAAAAGTACGAGACGACCGTTTCATCTCAATGACTCGTCAGTAGTTCGTAATCATGAGGATTCGAACTCATGACCACCAGTGACTTACGCCATTAGCCAAGAAATCATGCCATTAAACCATGGGAGAACAGAGACGGACCGTCATGACTTACAAGCGTACTACCATATATCGCGACCCATCATTTACTGTCATACAAAATACGGACATTGCAGATGATAGCGTTGACGACGAAAGCAACGGCTTCCGCTAACAGTAGCTATAGTTGATTGAACTGAACCGTATGCATGCCGTTTTTCGGGATCCATTCAACAAGCAAGGATTCAGTTGCTACGGTGCCTATGTCCGGTTGATCTGTGACCACAGTGTTGACATTTTCGTGCGTGTGAAGCTGTTACACCTGGGAGAAATCAGAAAAAACCACGGAACAATGGAAGCATAGTGTACAAGCGTTCGGCTGATAAGCAAACAACAGTGTGCGCTTAGTTTTAGATCGGCATTCGATTAGATAGGAAAAGATTATGGGCCAATGAGCGCATTGAAGATATTGAACGAATCACATACACCTACCGACACACGCAAGCATACTCTATGGAGTCAGCTGAGGTTAAGAGTCTGACTCTACTGCTAGCATCAAGCGTACCTTCGCACGTCTTTGTTCATCGATAACTTCAAATCCCGGGATCGCGTACCGTAAGTACAATCGCGTATGCAAACGATGGCCGATGGTGGACTTTGCAGGACCTCTTCCAGTTTGGTAAGCTAAAAGGACACGATCTAGGCGCACGTGCAATGGTGCGCTTGTTTGTTTAAGCAGTATATTTTTCACTATTTGCACAGCCCTTTCAGCTAGGTCGTTTGAAGACGGATGATACGAAGCAGTAGTTGTCTCCGATTCCATTTGTAGTGAAAAAGGTGGAAAATTTGGCGCTGGTAAATACAGATCCGTTACCCAACAGCATTGTTTCATGGAGTCCGAAGGTAGTGAATATGCGCAATTTGATTATTGCGGTAGTGGATGTCGCTGTGGCCAGAATGTGGACATCAATCTACTTAGAATGAGCATCAACCACTAGCAGTCATCTGACTTGTGAATGTACAGAAAAAATATATGCATACACGTCTCCAGGGCGTTCCATTTCCAAGGCTGCATTGGCAGTTGGGGACAGCGTTTCGAGATTCGTGACAAAGAATGCAACATCCAACTTTTGCTGCATTGTCACCATCGAATTCGGACCACTATATGTAGAAAATGATCAGTTCTTACATACTAGAAATTCCT